TTTTATGATGGATTTATGCACTTTATCTTACTTCAAAATCTCAGCGCCCATTCACTGCCATATTTTTTATAATAGATGGTAGCCAGTGTGCTTTCATAATTTGCTAGTTTTTGGTGTTTAAGTTGTGTTGTCGTAGTGGATTTGTTCTTATATCAGATCCAAGGTGAAAGTAGCAGCCGATTAAACCAATCAAAAGAAGTAGAGGAAGAAACACTAATGAAAACGACGAATTACTAACGACCAACTATAGGCCTATTGTAAATAAACTCTGTAAACCCTTCTCTGATGTCTTTGTCATTTTGACATTGAATAAGTCTGTTTAGGGTTCAAAATGATCAGATGTTTCTCTTTAGTCCCCACCAGCAATATGTTGTGTTATATTTCCAGTTTGAAGCTACACTAGTCACTGCTTAGCGTGTGCTCTCGGGACTTTTATTTTGGCGCGTTGGTGTGACGTCATAAGGCAGCGCCGCGCTTCTGTGATTCGGCTAAAGAATGGTTTGAATCCTAATTCATTTAAACTGTTTAAACCGATGCAAGTGATTTAGTGCATTGCATAGTTTTACAAGCAAACTAAAGTCAATTGATCATTATCGAATGTAACATCGAAGTGCTTTGTCTAACGTTAATGCACGTTGTTTTGTGAAAGTAAGAAAAGCTGCTCCCTATATCGTGAGTCGGTTCATTATAAACACGAATTCAAAAGTGAAGGGGCTTTCTGAAACTCCGAGTCAATTGAATCAAATGACTCGGAGTTTTGAATCACTTCACGCTAACGACACATGCTGGACAAAACGACAACAACAGACACAAACATCTGCAATAATGACCAGAGGCAGCTCCTGACTGTAAATGTGGACTTTCAAGCTAAAAGTAATATAATTAATATATAGTTATGATTGATTAATGAATCAATTACTCACCCTCGTGTCGTTCCAAACCCGTAAGACCTCCGTTCATCTTCGCAACACAAATTAAGATATTTTTGATGAAATCCAAGAGCTTTCTGACCCTCCCATAGACAGCAAGGGTACTACCATTTTTTCGTTTCGAATTTTAATTTTTGGGTGAACTATCCATTTAAGACCATTAACTATGACTCTTGACATTACCAGTGAGCTGATTGTGACACACCCAGAGATTTAGTTTGGATTAATTTGCCTTTCTGTTAATTACTCTCATATTAATCGTGTGTGTAAACAGAGAAAAACTCCTGCTGAGATCCTATTATAAAGATGGCGGTTATTAAAGAGGAGAGTGAAGATGTGAAGATTGAAGACACTTTCAGAGTCAAACAAGAAGATACTGAGGAACAAACAGGTTGGTTTTCATTCTCAAAGCTGGCATTCATTATTACAACGTATACCACGGGGCTGTTAAATGCTTGAATCTGATTGGCTGATGAACGTTCTGAGGTGTGCAATTATTTTCAGGGAACCGCACGGCGAACGTAGTTCCAGGCAGCTCTTGAGCGCATTACATGTCTGTATCACTTCGCCAAATGATTTGAGTTATTTCAAAGGTCCTTACAGCCTGAAACAGCAAAAGAACCAAAACCCACAACGACACTGGCCAAACACATAAATATAGCAAACAATAAGATAAAAACGACAGATCATTTCCATGTAAAATGACGTTTTATTATGTACGGAAAGCACATACTCTATCTCTCTCGCGCTCTCCGTCACAGACGCGCATTCATACAGTTTGCACACACGTTATCATGCGCGCTAATGTTGTTAGCGCTACTCTGGCGATTTTATCAGTAGCATAGTTTAATAACTTAAAAACGACGTGACTTCTCACAAGCGAGGTAACAACAACGGTACTGTTCGTGGAAAAAAAAAAGAACTTAAAGTTTCACAGTAGAAGGTTGCATTAGTAGTGATAAGCTAGGCCATTTAAAGCTTTGCATATTTAAATAGCAGAATTTAAAAAATGAAATTAACTCTAATAAGCTTTAATACCCTTGTCTCGTCAGCAGGGATTAAAGTTCCGTCGCTACGATGGATTTCCGTCAGTTCATAAAGACGTTCACGTGCTTCATTCCTGAATGATTCAGCCGTTCGAACGAATCAATTGAATTAATGATTCAGTGATAAAATCAGTGACTTGCCGCCACCTGCTGG